AGATATCTTGCCACACGTTCTCACCTCGATTTCTTTGCAACCGAACTTATAGTTCGCTGGGTTCACCATCCTTTCCCACAACGGGTTCCTATCGCACGACTCTCCCGCGTTGTTGGCGTCGATACGATATAGCTTCCTTCTGCCTTCTTCCTCGGGGGTGCTCGTTGTGTTAAATTCATCGTGAGCCGTTGGTTCTGATGTTCGTCGAGTTCTCCTGTCTTTGTTGGACGTAGTTTCGTCCAGGGAAGAGACCGTGTCTGCTAGTCCTGCTCCAGCGGATGCCGTGGTGACCACGAGAAAGAGTGTGATCATGGCGTTGACGGTCGGAAGCGCAAAAAAACGCCTTCGAATCCGTCGGTCATCGACGTTGGCTGGCTTGGGCTGCCTTCTCGGGAAGGCTGCTGTTGTTGCTGATGACGGACCAATCATCGTGTGCTCTAACAAACGTAGACGGGTGCGCCCATCAGCATCTACCCACCGAAGCTTGGAGTACGGTAGGTCGGCGTGGGGAGCAGCAGTCATACAAGCAGCAGTAAGGCGAAGAGATGTTGATTTGGTTTTGAAAGACTGGCAGCCAGGGGAGAAATTTGATGCCGGTGAAGCTGATATATCAAGATAACGAGGAGGTACACGGTGTTATATGGCGGCCTTAGGTTTGGAGATGAGAACGGAAGGCGGATGGTCGACATGACGTTGCGCGGTGGCTGGCTGGATGTCGTTTCTCTCACAGGCCACATGGATCGAATCCGACTGTATGGGTGTGTGATCCATATATCTCTTAGTACTACAAGCTGGTCCGGCCAGAAGCCCATATTTTGTCAGATACTCATAACTTTGCCGCATTTACGATTCACCTCAAAGCAAAGACATTGCCGTGATCGGCAGACTCAGGCACTGATGATGGAACTCTGTATCAGTTCATTGCGGAGGATTCTCCAATAGAAGCATATTTTGAGGCTTGAAACCGTCAAAAACCATCAACAATAAAAAAAAAGCGGCGAAATTACGCAATTCGGAGCGCATCAAGGCACATCACAGCAGCACACCCCGACAGCGCGCTGTGTATGGCGACGGACGCGCAGAATACCCAGCGGTGGGAGAGTACCTCTGCCCCCGTGATACACCATGACAAGAGTGCAGATCGTTGGCGACTCGAGCTGAACTATACCCCCAAGAAGAAGAAAACTGCGAGGAAGAGGTCCGCATGGTCCACCACGCGCGAGGAGGCTGAAGCATCAGCAAGCTGGTGGAGACTGAGTTGTGAGCAAGGCAACAACGGCAAGAAGAGCAACCCAGGCACACAACCCGATGAACCCCGAAGAAACAGCTCCGTATCATCGCCGGCCGATGTCGAGCTTCGTCCAGGCACGTTGAGCAATGAGTTGTACGGGTGGGTCTGGTATGCTGCTGTTCCGCCGACTGGCTTCGCCGCTGCTGTGGTCAATAAGTCATGACATGATATCACCGCTTCTGCTCCGCTCGTGGATCGAGGACTAGCTGCTGCTACTGCTGTGTCAACCCCGCTGCTGCCTACATTCGTGCAAGACTTCTGTACAACGTACACTGCTGCTCTACAAGTACAGGCGCAGCCGCCATAATAGCGCCATGATGTTCGCGTGAACAAAAAAACGGTCCGTGTTTTGAAGGGTTTTTAGCCTGTCTCTGCCGAAATGTGCTTCTACTGCTGCCCACCTGTGCGTATGACTGCTGCACGATGCGCGCTGCTGCGGTGCGTGTACAAGCAGCGCAGTTATTGTACAAGGCGCTGCTCCGTATGCATGTTTTTACTCGTAATTGTACAACCGCGGAATGCTTTTTTGTAGAAATTAAACCCATTTTGTCCCGTGCCTGCTGCTGTTTGGAGGTGTACTTGCATTGCGTGCCAGTACATGAGCGTACGTGTACGTCGGCCGCACAGCATGCACCACTGCTGTACAAGTACGAGTACCACAGTCGTTGGCTCAGAAGCTGCTTCGTTTGCCTGTGTTGTAATTATACTTACACTTGTGCCACAACACAATCACTGGTTGTTTTGGAAAGATTTTGAACCAATTTTGTCCCAAGTTTGCTGCTGCTGTGCGATGTGCACTCACGTCTGCATGCGTGAACGACTGCTGCACGACTGTCGTTGTTCCGCAGTCATTGTACCAGAAGCTGCTCCGCCAACGTGAACAAGACATCAGTCCCTCAATCGTCCACACAATCGCAAGCCATTATATTGACCTTGTCCTCATTTGATCTCACCTTCACCGTACCTCCTAACACTAAATAGGTAAATCGGAGAGGAGCGTCGGCAGGTTGAACAGAGTGCAGGAGCTGCAGTTCAAAAAGGCAACGCAAGGAAGGAAGCAGCCTATCGCGCGGGGAATGGATGAAGTCCACTCTTCTGACAACGCGAGAGAAGCGATGTCTCCAACGGGCATGGACGAGGCGGGAGGCAAGGCTGGACAAGAATTTCCAGAACCGTCACTCGAACCTCAAACGCCGCGTGCAGGCCTTCGAGGAGCGAGTAACGAACAATGCCGGGCATATTACTCGGCTTCGCAGCTGCTTGCTTGGGGACATCAGCAACTTGCTCTTCAACGATGAGCAGAGCGGCGATGACGATGAGGACGCCAGGGACACGGCAGATGCGGCAGCTGTAGAGGGTGGAGAGGATGCAACGGTGTCGAAGGCACAGCTGTCACGGCTCTACTCTCAAGCTATGGTAGTCCTGGAGGTGCTCGAGGAAGAGCGCACGCGCGATCTGCTGATCTCGATGCATACCAGCGCGGCCTACCGTGCGCTTTGCACGGCCCATGACAGTTCCAAGTCATTTGCCCAGGTGAAGGCTGCCGAGGACGTAGCAACGGAGGCCATGGACGAAGCGTCAATAGTTCGTCTCGACAACTCTCTTCTTCTGATTGCAGAAAAATCGGCGAAGGATGTACTGTGCAAGGTATCCCCGGAGACGATCCTCTCGTGGACGCGTCAATTTCGGCAGCTTGGCGGCCATTTCAAGCGCGATGGCAGAGGGGTGCGCTAGCGAGAGTGGATCATGACCGAAGATGATCTCTCCCTGGCCTTTCTCGACTGGCTTAAGGCCCAAAAACGAGTCACGACGCAGAAGGCGTGGAAGTTCATCAACGAGGTACGTCTCGCGCAAGAGGGAGGGATCCTGAAGCTATCCCAGTATGGGCTGAACCTGCCGATCTCCAAGACTACCACCAACGTCTGGATGCGGAAGCTCGGATGAAAGCACGACAAAGTCAAGCAATCGTACTACACAGAAGGCCACGAAACGTCTGATGTCCAAGAGGCCCGCAAGCTCTACCTTCGTAAGCAACGACAACTCGCCCTGCGAAAATCGTGCTGGGTGGCGGTAGAGTTGTCCTCACTGTCAGCGGATGAGCAAGCAGCCTTTCAAGAGCAAAAGGAAACAGGCCCAGAAAAGTTCTCGGCTGAGACGTTTTACTTCGAAGCGGATGGCAAAGAGTACCTCGAGTTCCACGTCGATTTCTTGGGCAACGGGTCAGACCAGAGGTACGATGATTTACGAGCGGGATTTGGGGACGAAGATTGACAGTACAGTATCCGCTTCGACATCGCGGCGAAGTCTCCCTGCAAGCATTTCCATGCTCCCGATGTGTGCAGGTGCCACCTTCCTTTGTACCATATCGGCCAAGACGAGAGCGTCTACAAGGCGTACGCACGTGAGGGCACGGAGTGGGTGATAAATGGAGTGCGTGGCTTGAGTAAGAAGTCCGAGGGCCCGGGGGAGATGGTGTCCGCGTTCCAGGATGAGAAGCTTGGATTTGGTCTTCCTCTCTCGGAGGACGAGTTGGCACGCGTCAATGAGTTCCGTGAGACGAAGGGTCGCCCCCCCCCCTCAAGGACACCCCCGGGACGCGTTTTCTGCGTCCCGGGGTGAACAGGGACGGATGCTGGGGGTTTGCTGATTTTGAGGAGCAAACGATCGATGTCACCGTGTTGGTGGAGCGGATGGGGGACGCTATCAAAGAACTCAACCAGGAGCATGGAGTATCGGTGGAGATTCTGAAGGGGATCCTTCCCCCGTCATGGGTTGAGGAGCATGGAGTATGGGTGGAGATTCTGAAGGGGATCCTTCCCCCGTCATGGGTTGAGTGGGCCTTAGGACCGGCAGGAGAAACCGGAAGGCGTCAGCCCACCGTTGCAGAACTGGCAGCACACGATGGGGAATCTACTACGCCGAGGAAA